CTATTTGAATTAAAATCATGTTCTATTTTCTTTTTTTGATTAGAGTAAAGAATATATCTAGTTTCTATTTCTTCATTAAAATATAAAAAAACTTATGGGTTAAATTATTTCTCTCACGTATATAAATATAAATTTTAATTATACAACTTTAACTACATTAAAAATTGTACACAATTTGACCGGAGTGTATCATAAATTCGAGCAATTATATATATATATATATATATATATATATATATATATATATATATATATATATATATATATATATATATATGAACTGTAGGTCTACCCCATTTGGAATATGAATTACGTAAGACGATCCCACCATATTCAACCTCTCCCTAGTCGCTACCTTTAATTTCTCTCTTTATACAAATGATGAGGATCCCATTTGTAGTATAATTGGCCACCTTTAAATATCTATTCTATATGTTTTCTTGAATTATTGATGTAATAAATATTTCGTATATAAATTATTTTTATATTCTATACCAATATTAAATAGTACTGAGTATATATTGAGTTATATTAATAATAATTTTAGTCAAATGTCAAAAACTAAAATTAGGAGAAATATTACGTGTAGATGAGTCATTCTACTGTCACACTTTCAATGTCATCAAGAGTGAAATCGTCATTGATTATTGTCTCGTATGTACTGATTAAAATAATTGTCCATGTGAAATTATTACTGGTTCTTGTCCTCAATAAAAACAAGCAAATGAAGGGGTTTAAGTGACATTGTCTCCCATATCGTCATACTATGACACGAGCTTTATTTGGGACTTCTATAGGCCTATTAAAAAATGACGGTTCCTATCTACCTCTTCTATCCCCTCCCCTGGCTAAACGTTAACCCTGCCTAGCTACCTTGGCCCGACCCACCTCCCCTCCTTCAAATGTACCCACCCCTCCCAAATTTATATTAGGTTATTTTAGGAGTCAAGTTTTTACTTCAAAGTTAACTAAAATTTGAGAGGAGGGGAGGGGTGCAATTGAAAGGGGTGTGGGTGTGTGCTGGGTTCAAGTCGAGTCGGGATGGAAGGCTTTACTGAAAGTGTTAGAATAGATGTAATCCATCATTTTTTCCGACGGAGCATCGTAGGAACTCTGGGCCAACCCAATGTCATGGTAACCGAGCAGATTAGAACATACTGGGATGACCAAATGTTTTTCTCCCTCTCTCTTAAGCTAAAGAAAGCTTAATAATGAAGTAACTTAGCTCATCCCCACTTGCTGATTCAAATCAAATGAAAACCCTAATAGTATAATCTCTACTCCAACTTTATATCCACTTTCCCTTTCTTGTTGGGTCTGTCCCTCACCTCACCTCCTCCTGCTGGCCTGGCCTCTCTCCTCTGACATACAGATGCTCTCCCCATATATTTCCTCGAAACCCACCAACCCAAACTTTATATAAAGATATAAATAAAGATTAAAGAGATCCATCAAAGATATTAAAGCTAGAAAAAAAAAAGAAAGAAAAAAATCATGGCTTTCTCTTCTTTTTCTGCCTATTTAGATCATCCAAATTTTCACCAGGTATGTGTTTTTTTATTCTTTAATTCTTCTTTTTCTTCATATATACTCCGTATCATATATGTGCATCTTGAAAGAAAAAAAAGAGAGGGAGTAATATTCATTTTTACTGATTTATATTCCTCTTTCATTTGTTCTTTTTTTAATTATTGAATATACTGAAAATAATTTTTCATTTCGTATCTGGAGATATGTATATACTCCGATCCTTATTAGCTTTAGTTTTATATATTATAAATTTGTTTTCTTGATATTGAAATGTATAAAGTTGCAGCAATCTGGTCTTCATCAAGGCGGAGCCGGAGACGGCGGCGGCGGCTTATTAGAAAATCCGGAGCTTCCGAATGGACTGACGACTCAACCGCCATCTTTGGTGGGAGGCGGTCTGGGATCGATCCGGCCTGGCTCGATGGTAGATCGAGCCAGGCAGGCAAAGGTCCCGGTTCCGGAGGCCGGTTTGAAGTGTCCAAGGTGCGAGTCTACGCACACCAAGTTTTGCTACTTCAACAACTACAGCCTCACGCAACCGCGACATTTCTGCAAGACCTGTCGCCGGTACTGGACCAGGGGTGGGGCTTTGAGAAACGTCCCGGTCGGCGGAGGCTGCAGGAGGAACAAGAGAAGCAAGGGCGCGAATAACAACGGCTCGAAGCCCAGCTCGTCAGCCGGTGCCGGCGCTCCGAGCTTGGAGAAGGCGAAACCGGCGGCTGCAGATGGCGGCAACAGCGGTGGAGGCTCAACATCGCCATGCGTAAGCCCTACAGACATAGGTGGCGGCGGACATTACCCACAACTGACACCGCCGCCACACGTCACTGCCGCCCACACTTTTCAAAACGCGAACCACTTCGAAGGAAGCAACAACGGGTTTCACCTGTCTCCGCTTGTGGTCACAAGCGGAGGCGGTGGTGGAGGAATGGGGGAACTGGGTTTCCAGTTCCCCTATTTAGGAGGATACCATGAGCTCCTTGGTTGTTCTTCCCACTCAAACATATACCCTAATTTCCACATGATGAGTGAAGCATCAGCTCCAAAGATGGAGGAAATGAGGCAAGGTTTGAATTCAACAAAGCATTTCTTGGGGACATTAGAGAACAACAACAACAATCACTATTGGGGATGGACCAGCTGTGGGGTCGGGTTTTCGGGCATCAACGCGTCTTCTCCCACTACGCATGACCTTCTATGATACGATCAAAATCGGTCACGCTCATATATAGTTCGGATCTTCTGTTACACTTTTCATATCTAATGCGACTGTCACATTTTTTTTCAGGAGAATATCACAACATGAGACATGAAAAGTGGGAAAGAAGATCATTAATGTTGTTTGACATAAGTCTTCATTATGTTTTGTGTTAAGCCATGGGATTGAGAGTGCATATGTGTAGTGTATCCTTCTAAACTCTATCACTATATCTTAATTTTATTTGGTTTACTATATAACGGAGTAATTATATATTTTCCTTTGTGATAATTAATTAATTAACAACGTTCAATTTGCATTTGTTTTAATATTGTGCAGCTTTTTTTAAAAAAGAATATTGTGCAGCTTATTTCATTTTAATCAATTAATTTTAGCTTATTTCAATCATTGCACGTTGTTTCTGTCTCATCATGGAGCATATCAGTCTTACGGTTACTTTGTTTGGTCTTTGTGTTTTGGCAGTCAAAAAAGGAAAAGGAAATTTAAAAAAGAAAAAAGAAAAAAAGAAAGCTGTTCTGGCATACGAATAAGCTTTTTTGACAAGGTCTTTAATTATGCATCCTTAAATCAGTCTCGCTACTAATTACAAAGTAGACCAGATCAAAGTCATGATCCGGTCGAGAAGAGTGATTTTTTGAGGTATGGATTTAGCCCAGCTCGCATAGCGGGCCTTATATTTGAAATTCGAGCCCGGCCCGCAAAATATCCATAGACTTCCAGCTAGTTAGAGGCTAGGTTCAATCAGTGGCAGATCCAGGATATTAAATAGTAGAGGTCACTTTTCGAGTGTTTTTGGACAACTTCCCAATTTTTTTTTAAACATGCAATGCAAGACTTTAAAAAAATGAACTTACCCTTAAATAGTTATTCAAAAATAAAAAAATAAAAATTCATTTTTTAATGCCAATATTATAAATTATTTTAATTATCACTCCGTATATTTTTAGTGTACTACTTTAGAATTTATCTTTTCCTTTTAAAATAATTCACTTTAAAATTATATTTTTTTAATATCTAAACATTTGACTTCTCTCATTTTTTTCTTACTTAATACTATTAATTGAGGTCTCTAATACTTTTTACTAGGGTCTCTAATATTTTTAGTTGGGGTCATATATTACATAACTCTAAAAAAATTAAAAAATTAAAGTATCACAATACACATGATAAACAAAATCTTAAAACTAGTAGGGGGCCATTGCCCCCAATTATTAAGGTATGGATCCGCCCCTGGGTTCAATTCATCATGTTCCTTCTGCTCAAAGTATTGTGAAAGTCCATAGTAAGGTGCTTCCTAAGCACAACTTTAGCATGTACTCTTTGAAAATCTTTGAAGTTTTCAATATCATTAGATTTATACAGATATTTGAAATATTAGTTTAATATATCGATGATTTAAATAACTTTTGAAATTCCTAAATAAATCAGGCCGACTTTTAGAATGCAAATGAATATAAGATTCAATTCAGAGGGTGTTTGGCAATATATTATTTTTCAGAATTCAGCTTCTGTTTTAAGAATCTATTAAGCTACCAATTTCGGCTTTTATTCACTATCATTTTGTACATAAAACATTATTTCGGAGAAGCAAATTTATGTTGCTTCTGCTTTCAGCTTTTGTGAAAATCACTTTCTAACACGCTCTCAATACACTACCTCGATATTTATGTCTGGTGCTTTGAAAAAATTACCAAAAATACAAATATAAACAGGAAACTATATCTATTCCTAAATTAAAGAGAAAGAGTTTTGATGAAGGGATGAAGCGTATATATGTTAGATAAACATTCCCCTTTTAAGTCATAAATCTCTCTTCTTTCAAAATATTGAAAACCCATGGTTATATTGGAGCCTATCTAACAATACAAACTAAAGGCAACATGCAGTCGTCATGAAACATCTATGGATCGGACTATACAAGGACAAAACACAAAGAAATTAAACATCATTATAAATTAGGTTGGATCAAACCAAAAGAGAAAGCTATAGGGGCACAGTCCTACAAAGAGGGCAATTCAGTTTACGGGCGAACCAAGCGGAGATGCAATCCGCATGGAACTTGTGACCGCACCCTTTGAGAACCGTCGAAATCTCGCCTTTGTTAAACTCCGCGAAGCAAATCGAGCACTCGTTCGCTCTCTCCTCCTTCCTCACGCTCCCTTCCGGGAACGTGTTCACGTTCAGCTTGATTTCCCGCGCCCGTACGATCGGCTGCCGGGGAAGCGGGGCCGGGGCCGGGCGGCGGCGCTGTTCCGGGACCACGACGACGACGTTAGGGATGGGATTCTGCGGCGGCGGCGCCGGCGGGAGTTCGCAGCGGAAGCAGGCCTCCAACGCTACGTACAGAATAAGTATAGCCGCACCCACGTAGAATGCGCCGTTAAAAAGATTTATAGTATTCATATTGAAAATTGGGTTTTCTCTCAAGAATTAAGTAAAACACGTACAAGATGGGAAAAAGGTTTTATATATGTACATAGGGTTTGGGTGCTCCGGATAAAATTTAATGGAAATCCCACGCGTGATAGGATTCTGAAAATTAACATAGGGATCGGATAGTATATATTTTTTGGTATGCTTCAAATTTTTTCCTAGTAGTAAATTAGTAACATTAGTTCTAATTAAATACACTAGCCTTCTTTCAATTTCCTTAAATACTCAAATTAACCATCTTTCAATTACAAAAGTTTCGATATTACGAGAGTGTTTGTGGGTGCGGTGAGTCTTTAAAAAATACATGTGCTAAATCAGAGATAGAAGGTAGTTATTCCAAACTTTGGTGAAAATCACTTCTAGAACAGAATTTATACTTTTGAAATTACAATATACTAGTATAATTCAAAGCTAATTAGAAAACACTTCAAATTACGTTTCAATGATGTAGAAGCTCAAAAGCTATTTTCAAACATACTACCAAACACCCTCTTTGTATCCCATTTCAATTCAAAAATTCCAAAATGTATTTGAATTCATCACCTTGATTCCCATGACATCGAGATTCAATGTCATGGGATGACCCAAAGGTTTAAACGATGCTCCGTTTGAAAAAATTGATAGTTCCTACCGCCTAACCCCCTGATAAACCCTCCACCTCTGGCCCGGTTCAAACATATCCTCACACCCCCGTCAATTGTAGGTCATAAGATTTAGTTGACTTTGGAGTCAAAATTTGACTAATAGTCAACTAAATCTTGTGGTATACAATTGACGGGGGTGCAGGGGTATGTTTGGGCCGGGCCAAGGGTGGGGGGTTTACCGGGGGTGTTAGAGGGGTAGGAATCATCAATTTTTTAAGCGGAGCATTGTAGATGCCCTAATCGGAGCCATGTCATAGGATGACATGGGGGTTCATGTCACCCGAACCGCCCCCTGAATTCATATATATATGCTCCATTATACACAAGAGTTGCTCTTTCGTGGTTCTAAAATCCACGTTTGAAATTTGGATATCCTTTTACTTTTTATGAACTTGTAAGTGGATCTTTTTTGTAAAAGACTAATTTTTTTAGGATGTCAATGCACTAAGGTGATAAAATGAACATGGACCTTATTAAAGATTGCATTAGAACTTCCCTAATTCGTGTAGAACTCCAATCCAATCAACTCTAATTCCTTCAACATGACCCAAAGTTTTGTATTCTTGTGTATTAATGTTTCATGAGAGGTTGTTTCTTTTTTCTACTCCCTCCGTCCCGCTATATTCGTCCACTTTTAACTTTTGGAACTGTTTATCTAAACACTTTGACTCATCAAATTCTCTCAATGTGTAAGCCTAAATATAGACATGTGTGATCTTGTTTGATTTGTCTTAACATATACTCCGTAGATTATTAATACTCCCTCCGTCCAATATTAAACTTTACGGTTTGACTCGGTGCGCAAATTTATGTGGAATGAAAATTGGTTTGACTTTCCTATTATACCCCTCCACCTTTCAGCCCTCTCCCCCCAGTGA